TTATAGTGTTTGAAACCAAATTGAATGCAGAACAAAGATTCTAGTTCTCGACCTTCTCCATATTACAGTGTGAATTGTAATGGAAGAACCCTAATCCTTCCCTGTGAAGTCCCTAGATCCCTGCTGTGCAACAGTGCAGTGGAAAAGGAATACCCACATCAGTGCATTTTGTAGTCCACAGGGCAGTGTAAACTCTTGCAGATCTCCCAGATACTGCTGTCATAAGAAACTGTAGCTATGGACAGAGAACGCAAGAGAAGAGAGAGGCAAGACTTACCCTTTCAAATACCGTTAGTACTTTTATTTTGTCCTTAATAAGAACCAAAGACAGAATTTAAATTTCTGTTTATAGCTGTTACTGTGTATTTATCTAGTAGGTTTTTTAGGTTAATCCTATGCCACTGGCTCATTTTGTAAACCTGAAAAGTTGTAGTGCACCTATCTAAAACTGGGTGTAATGTTTGCCTGTCACAAGGGATGATGAGACATAGCTAAGTAATGCTTGTAAAATGCTGCGAGCTTGTAATGTTTAGAAGTGCTTTATTAATTCAAAGTACAGCCTTTTTCTTTTGTCTAGTGGATTATATGAAAGGTTTGGTTGTCACAATACTATTTCAAATTCAGAGTAATAAACATTCTTGCATATGTGCAATCAAGGACTATTTTAGCCTAACTAACTTGTTACATTTGTATTTAATTCTGTGCCGTAAGGCATTTAGGTCATAGTTAAACCATAATACTTTCCATGTTTAAAGATGTAGGATTTTCATTTCAAGTCACAACACACATAAAGGGATGCTTAAATTTTATTTAGCTAATTTTAAAAATCTTGTAGCTTCTGATAGAATTCAATTTAAATAGTATGCTTTAAATTTAAAAAGACGTGTTTAAAAAAGGAATGCATCATGGTTTTTGCTTCTGTTATAAGGCAGAAGTTCCTCAGCAAGATAGAAACTAGCAGACTATACAGGAAAACAATCACTGACTGCACACTTTTATTCTTAAGTGCTTTCAAATGGGGAAAGCAAACAAAAAGGAAAAATGGCCAAAATGTTCTAATTTTACTCTGCTATGACCATTTTAAGCATTACTCAGACATGCCAGAATATTCCAAAAAAAAGTTTGACAGGTTTTCTAATGGTTATTTTGATTCTCAAATCTGACAAGGAGATAATGTTCAATTTTGAATTCTCTTCATGAGAGGACTGATGGATGTAGGGTTACAAAACCTGAACTTTCAAATCTTTGATTTTTATTTTTGTTTAAGAGGTAGCATGAATGTGCGTGTGTGTAACATGATATACAATGTCTTTTAAAGATACCATTTTGTGTGTATTGTGCACAAGTATTGTTGGTCTTGGGTATTCCAGTTTAAATCCAGAGCAACATGAGTGGTTTTTTTTCTGGAATTACATTGTAATCAACATGAGAAATAAACTTATTAGACAGACATGATTTGTTATGTGCATGTGTGCATGTGGACATATGCTTCAGTACCTCTCAAAACGCACTTTTGCTAGCTGATTTACCTGGGATTGACCTTCTATATCAGGGGTGGGTAAAATGCGGCCCACCAGGCTATTCTGTCCAGCCCGTTGGGCCTCTAATATTTTAGAAAATTAATATTTATTTGCCCCTGGCTGCCGGTCATTTGGCCCTCCATGGTGTGCCAAAACTTAGTAAGCAGCCTGAAATAATTGCCACCTCTGTCCTACATCCATATGGAATATGTTTTACTTCACTCCTACACTACCGCATGCTGTTCTAGTGGTGGGTTGCCAGATTAACATGAGAAAAGATAGAGGTAGTTAGCTATGTTAGTCTGAAGTCAGGCAGAATGTAGGCAGAACACATGGCAAGTTGGCACTTTAGACGTACCTTTTGCAGGGAACTGTTTACTTCATCAGATACTGAGCAGGAGGCAAGGGGAGGGTACGGAGAGCTGCAAAAGTTTTGTAAGAGGGAAACACAATAGTCTCATAACCTTGACTTTTGTCTCCATAAAAAACCCAAGAGGACTGCTGCAGTACATTATGGGTTGAGATGGATGTCACCAAATTGAAGCAGATCAGCTGTGGTGGGACATGTCCTGCTAAACACACACGTTGCCCCTTGTCCAGCATTGGGCAGGGTCCCAATGCTGGACAAGGGGCATTGTGTTCCCCTCACCAAGCCATTTCTAACCTCCCTCACTGGCCTGTGCCTCCTTTAACTCATCCCCCAGGTGAAGCAGAGATCACTGTGGGTCTTGGCAAGGAGGTGCTGGGCAGCAGAGGAAATGGGGAATTCCCAGTGCCTCTTGCCTCCATGTTTGGATTCATGCCAGGTCCTGCATTATTTGTGCTTCATACTGAGGCCTGGGGTGGCATTGGGGGCCTGGTATGGCATACGAGCTGGGCCTCTGACTCTGCCCCATGTTTCTGCTCTGGGATTGGCAGTGACCAGTGCCTGTGCTTGAAGTATGGGTTGTGTGGGACCCAGCTCAGGACCCAGCGTGGAGCCCTAGGGCTTCAGGAATGCCCTGGTTGCCATACCTCCCAGGAAGGCATCTCTTTTTAAGTTAGGAAAGTTTGGGGGCATCTCTGCTTATAGAGATGCAACCCAAGGTACTCTCCAGCATGTCTTAAGCGGGGACCCCTGGGCTTTCCCCACTTACAGAGGCATGCCAGGAAGATCCTGGGGGTGCGATTCCATGAGCAGGGAACCCTGGGCTTTCCCTGCTTCCTGAGATATGTCCCAGGCCCCGAAGTTCCCTGGACCATATCTCTATAAGAGGTGAAAATCGGGCAGATGCTCCAGGAGCTTGAGTGGCCCAATTCTGCCTGAGAATTCCCAGCACACACAGGATTGGGCATCTCAAGCCTCCAGAGCACATGCCTGGGGTGACTGGAGACTACAGGCAGCTCTGGCTGCCTGCACGCTCTTCCCATTGAGCAAATAGACATCTGCTGCAATAAAAGTAGCACGATCCACAGCTTTGGGACATTTTTGGTGTAGCAAGGGGTATGAACACCTGTGCTTTGCCTTTGTGCCTCCATAAAAATGTTTATGGTGGCACAAAGTTGAGGAAAGGTGATGTCAATTTCTACTCTACGTGCATCATAGAGCTGTTACTTTCTCTGTGCCTACCACAACTCTAAATTCTCTTATTCATGCTTCAACGTACTCTCAACATGCTTGTTGCAGCATATTGGCCTGAGATGCACCTGTTGTTGATTGGAAGAGTTCATGCTGGAGAAAAACTTAAGAGATTAAATACCATGATCTTCTGTACTTGTATGCCTAGGGGAAATATAAACAGAATCAAAATCAAGGCTGTGCCACACGAGCAATGTTACCCTGGTTTTTGGCTCCTTTGGGTTTTTACTATGACACTCTATAGTCAACTCTCAAAGTTTGCAGGTTGTCAGTAACCCCCCCCCCCCCCCCAAAAAAAAACAAAACAAAAAACAAAAC